CATTTTTGTTTTTTTAAACCCTACTATAATCCTAGGATAAACTTGCTAAGTAGGAGAATTAGGCTACCAGAAATTTACCTTGTCTAAAACTTCATGTACTAAATGACAAAACAATAAACCTACATCTCTCTTCCTCAAAGTCCACACATTTTTTTTTTACTATATATTGATATATACTGTTCAATGCTGCTTTGCTAACTTTCCATTTCTTGGCAATTTTTAGAGGAATTTGTTTTGTGAAAAGTGACTATCATTTCCCAATCTTCCATTCTGTTCTATTACCCCCAAACTCCCATTCCTTCACATTAATACAGCAAGAGTATCATGTTCTTGTTAACATACTACCAGAAACTTAATCAATAATGGGAGAAGTGGGCTGGGAATGTGGCTTAGTGGTAGAGTGCTTGCCTAACATGCATGAAACCCTGGGTTCCATTCCTCAGTACCACATAAACAGAAAAAGCCAGAAGTGGAGCTGTGGGCTCAAGTGGTAGAATATAAGCTTTGAGCAAAATCAGCTCAGGGACAGTGCCCAGGCCCTGAGTTCAAGCCCCAGGACTGGCAAAAATAATAGTAGTAGTAGTAGTAGTAGTAGTAGTAGTAATAGTAGCAGCAGCAGCAGCAGCAGCAGCAGTAGCAGTAGCAGTAGAAGGAAGCCAAGTGGCTCATACTGTGATCCTAGCTCCTCAGGAGACTGAGATCTGAGGATTACAGTTTAAAGCCAGCACGGGCAGGAAAGACTATAAAACTCTTATCTCCAATTAACCATCAAAAAGACAGTAGTGGGGTTGGGAAGGTGGCTCAGTGGTAGGGTGCTTGCCTTGCATGCATTAGGCTCTGGGTTCGATTCTGCAGCACCACATAAACAGAAAAAGCTGAAGTGGCACTGTGGCTCAAGTGGTAGAGCGCTAGCCTTAAGCTGAAGAGCTGAGGGACAGTGTCCAGGCCCTGAGTTCAAGCCCCACGACTGACAAAAAAAAAATACTGGAGCTGTGGCTTTAAGTGGTAGAATGTTAGTCTTGAGCACAAAAGCTCAGAGACAGTGCTTAGGCCCTAAGTTCAAGCAGCAAAAAGAAAAAGGAAAACACACACACACGCACACACACACACACACAGAGGTAATAAAGTTTAAAAACCTAAAAAGAAAGAGTGTCTGGGGCTAGGAAGGTGGCTCAGTGGTAGAGCACTTGCCTTGCATGCATGAGGCCCTGGGTTCCATTCCTCAGTACCTCATAAGCAGAAGAAAAAAAAAGCCGGAAGTGGCCCTGTGGCTCAAGTAGTCGAGTGCTAGCCTTGGGACAGTGCCCAGGCCCAGAGTTCAGGCCCCATGACCAACAAACAAACAAAAGAAAGAGTGTCTGTAAAAGAAAATGAAGGTCAGTGCCAGGCCCTGAATTCAAGCCCCAGGATTAGGGGTACATGGGGGAGGAGGGTTACAAAACAGTATTACTGTTATTTCAGTCTCTACAAAGAACTAAGAAGGAAGAATTCTAGAGTATGGCCAAGACTTCCTCCAGGACAATTTGAAATAAAGTCAGGTCTCCAAATAACTGGCCACTAAAGGTGACTCTAATAAGAAAAGGTATTATTGCTATCTTCCCCATTGCTGTAGAAAATTAAGAATAAGCAAAGATGAACCACTTTCAGAAAAATTACAATGCGATAAGCATTGCTATTTTGTATTATAATCTCAACACAAACATGTTTTCAGAGGAATCCAAGATTCTGGAAGGTTTTTATAAAAATGATACAGAACTGTTTGTGACTTTAAGTAGCATTATCCCACAATACTGTGAAATTTGTAAAAGTTATATAATCACTTAATCTCAATAAAAAATTATTTTAAAAAATGATATAGAACATGTACATACTCTACAAACAAAATAAATAGTACTTCAAAAAGATAAACTTTTGGGGCTGGGAAGGTAGCTCAGTGGTAGAGTGCTTGCCTCACATGCATGAGGCCCTGGGTTTGATTCCTCAGCACCATATAAACAGAAAAGGCCAGAAGTGGCACTATGTATGGCTCAAGTGATAGAGCACTACTAGCCTTGAGGCTGAAGAGCTGAGGGACAGCGCCCGGGCCCAGAGTTCAGGCCCCACCATCAACCAAAAACAAATATACACACACACACACACACACACACACACACACACACACACACACACACACACACACACACAGACACATACATACACACACATATATATAAACATATATATATAAACACACCTGTGGGGCTGGGAAGGTGGCTCAGTGGTAGAGTGCTTGCCTTACATGCATGAGCCCCTGGGTTCAATTCCTCAGCACCACATAAGCAAAAAGAAAAAAGCCGGAAGTGGTGCTGTGGCTCAAGTGGTAGAGCGCTAGCCTTGAGCTGAAGAGCTGAGGGACAGCGCCCAGGCCCAGAGTTCAGGCCCCATGACTGTGTGTGTGTGTGTGTGTGTGTGTGTGTGTGTGTGTGTGTGTGTGTGTGTGTACGTGTGTGTGTGTGTACGTGTGTGTGTGTACGCGCGTGCGCGTACACTGGTTTCCAGTGGTTCAGACCGTGTGTGTGTGTGTGTGTGTGTGTGTGTGTGTGTGTGTGTGTACGCGCGTGCGCGTACACTGGTTTCCAGTGGTTCACACCTGAAATCCTAGCTACTAAGAAGGCTAAGATCTGCGGATCACAGTTCAAAGCCAGACCAGGTAACAAAGTGTGTGAGACTCTTATCTCCACCAACTACCAAAACAAAAAAAGTTGGATGTGGAGCTGTGGCTCAAGTGGTAGAGTGGTAAAGTGCTAGCCTTGAGCAGAAGCAGCTCAGGGATAGCACCCAAGCCCTGAGTTCAAGCCCCAGGACCAGCACACACAGACACACACACAAAAATACATATATAAAAATGCATATATATATATATATAATACACATACATAGATAGAAATGTATGCATACATATGTGTGTGTGCATGCATGTATATACATGTATATATGTATACGTATATACATGCACATGTACACACACATACACACACACATTACACACATATAAACTTTTTAAAAGTAGATAGGCATGCTGGGGCACACCAATCATCCTAGCAATTTAGAAGGCAAGAAGATCTCAAGTTTGAGGCCAGCCTAGACTACAAGCAAAGACTGTCTCAAAAAAAGGAAGTCTACTTCAGGAACTAGGAATGGAGCTCAATGGTAAATAATATGCTTACCAATGTACAATGCTCTGGATTCAATCTCCAGCACTATATAATTATTCTAGAATATAAAAATGTAATTTCAGCCAGTCCTGTGGCTCATGCTTATAATCCTGGCTACTCAGGAGGCTGAGATCTGCAAATCCCAGTTCAAAGTTAGCCCAGGCAGCAAAGTCTGAGACTCTTATCTCTAAATAATCACCAACAGCTGGGAAGGTGGCTCAGCTGTAGAGTGCTTGCATGCATGAGGCACTGGGTTCGATTCCTTAGAACCACATAAATAGAAAAAGCCGTAAGTGGCGCTCTGCCTCAAGTGGTAGAGTGCTAGCCTTGAGCTGAGGAGGTGAGGGACAGCGTAGAGGCCCAGAGCTCAAGCCCCACGAACGACAAGAAAGAAGAAAAAAAGAAAAAACCTGCTAAGTCCTAAAGGGTACTTGGTGAAATATGTGTATATATTAACTCTTCAGGACACATAAAACTGTAAAATTATACATACAGAATGCTAGAAAAGACAAAAATTGCCTAGAAACTTCTACAGAATTCTGTTTCTACCTTTTTGGAGCAGGACCTTTTCAGCTATGTTTGCACAACTAGACCCCAAACTCATGCTAACACTAATTACACTACTAAGAGAAAACTGAGCCAAGTATAATTCATCAAATTTTCCTTCCCAGAAATAGAAATATGAACACTGAGCTGGCTAGTGACAATCAGCTGGCTAGTAACATGAGAGCTTGGCTTCATGTGAGGCTTCAGAAATGAAGCAGCCATGTTCTTCCACGTGTTTGTTAAAGCACAAAAGGCCACACAACAGAAGGTTCACAAAGACAGGAACAAAAAAGAAACAGAGAACACATCTAACCAACTGGGAGAACTATCTAACTATCTATCTATCTTGCCTTGAGAATGCTTTAGTTTGCTATTCATGTCCATCATACAGTCAACTGCTCTTGGGTTCTCTTACAATACTTTGGCCCCTCTGCACATTTGCCTTCAAAGCACTTCTTTTCTTATTCCTTGCCATCAAAAAGTAACATTACAGAGGCTGGGAAGGTGGCTCAGTGGTAGAGCGCTTGCCTTGCATGCCTGAGGCCCTGGGTTCGATTCCTCAGCACCACATAAGCAAAAAGAAAAAAGCCGGAAGTGGAGCTGTGGCTCAAGTGGTAGAGCGCTAGCCTTGAGCTGAAGAGCTGAGGGACAGCACCCAGGCCCAGAGTTCAGGCCCCAGGACCGGACCCCCCCCCCCCCCAAAAAAAAAGTAACATTACAGTCTAGGTGCCAATGGCTCAAGCCTATAATCCTAGCTACTCAAGAGGCTGAGAACTGAGGATCACAGTTCAAAGCCAGCCTGGGAAGGAAAGTCCTTAAGACTCTAATCTCCCATTAACTACTAAAGCCAGAAATTAAGCTGTAGCTCAAAGTGGTAGAGTACTAATCTTGGGCACAAAAGCTTAGGGACAGTGCTCAGGCCCTGAGTTCAAAAGCTAGGATCAGCAACAAAAATAAGTCACTGCAATAGGTTGACACAAATTCATACCACACTCATTCCAAGAAAGGTCATCTATTTGTCTGGTTCATAAAGAATCTGAGACACCAGAAAAGAAGTTTCTACTCACTATCCATAACTTCACGAGGAATAACAGTATGAAAATAAAAGCAAAATCTCTGTGAGAACTGGATTGCAACTCAAAGTACTTGCCTAGTTTGTGCAAGGTCCACAGCACAACCAAAACAATTTTAAAAGTTATTTCAAATCACAAATCACATATTTGCATGTGCCTCCAACTTTGTGCTTCTCTTCCAACTTACCTGTTCAAAAGCTCTGCTGGTTCACAGCAAGAGGTTAGAGTAGACTGTTCAGGTCCTTTTAACACTGTAAATAAAAAAAGCATTACATGTAAATCACCTAGCATTCTTTTAGGAAACTGAAAGCTTTTTATCATGAATATATTTTATAGGAAATAGTTCCAAACCTTGTTAAAATACTAGAATCACCTGGTATGTTTATAAACTAGATTTGTTGGCAGCATAGTGAAACATGTCAGTAGTTCCAGCTACTTCGGAGTCTAAGGCAGGAGGATCATTTGAGCCTAGAAGTTCATGACCTAGGCAACATAGCCCAGAGTCTAGATTCACTCTCATCAAAAAACAGAAGAGGACGGCTGGGAAGATGGCTCAGTGGTAGAGTGCTTGCCTTGCATGCATGAGGCCCTCGGTTCGATTGCATTAGGCCCTCAGTTCAATTCCTCAGCACCACATAAGCAGAAAAAGCCGGAAGCGGCACTATGGCTCAAATGGTAGAACGCTAGCATTGAGCTGAAGAGCTGAGGGACAGTGCCCAGGCCCCAATTTCAGACCCCACGACCAACCAAAAAAAAAAAAAAAACAACAAAGAAACAGAAGAGGGATGAAAAATGTATTTTTTTTTCTTTTACAAAAAGCCTAAATGATTCTGACGATGCTGATTAACACTACAGTGCCTCGGAGAGATTGTTATTTGGGATTTTATTCAAAACCATATATTACAGGACTTTGTTATTATTTTGTTGTTAACTCTTTCGTTCCAGTCCTAGGGCCTAAATTCAGGACCTGGGCACTGTCTCTGAGCTTTTTCGCTCAGAGATACCACTTGAGTCACAGCTCCACTTCCAGCTTTTTTGGTAATTCACTGAAAATAAAAAGAGTTTCATGGACTTTCCTGCCTGTGCTGGCTTCAAATCACAAGCCTCAGATCTCAAGCCTCCTGCGTAGCTAGGATTCCAGCCATGAGCCACTGGCACAAGTTATTAACTATTACAGAATATCTGACAGAAAAATAGAGTAGCATCACAGCAATGAAAATCCTCTACATGTATCAAGTACCCAGAAATTTGACAACTACCAAACTATCCAAGGAGCAAAGCTCCAGATGTGCTTCCTGCTGCACAATCACAACATACTCATAATGGTATGTTGATAAGAATCATCTTAAAAATCCAAGATAGAGGGACTGGGAAGGTGGCTCAATGGTAAAGCACTTGCCTTTCATGCATGAGGTCCTGGGTTCGATTCCTCAGCACCACATAAGGGGAAAAAGCCAGAAGTGGTGCTGTGGCTCAAGTGGTAGAGCACTAGCCTTGAGCTGAAGAGCTGAGGGACAGCGCCCAGGCCTAGAGTTCAGGCCCCAGGACTGGACCCAAAAAAAAAAAAAAAAAAATCCAAGATAGACAGATGCTAGTGGCTCATGTCTACAATCCTAGCCATTCACGATACTGAACTGTTAAGGATCAAGGTTGCAAACAAACCTTGGGCCAAAAAGTTGCAGACTCCCATCTCCAATTAACAAATAAAACACCAGGCTGAAGGTGTGACTCAAGTGGTAAAGTGCCAACTATGACCAAGCAAGCTAAGCAAGTATAAGGCCTCTGAGTACAGGCCCAGGAACCAGAAAAAGAAAAAAAGAAGGAGGATGGGGGGATGTGAAGAAGGAATCCAGGCACAATGGTTCATGTCTATAATCCTAGCTACTCAAAAGGATCAGAGCTGAGAATCAAAGTTCAAAGCCAGCCTGGACAGGTCCTTTTAACAGTCCATAGATTCTTATCTCTAATTAGACAGCAAAAAAAAAAAAAAATAGAATTGGAGCTGTGTCTTAATTGGTAGAGTGCCAGGCTTAAGCAGAAAAATATCGTCCATGACTTAAGTTCAAGCTCTAGTATTGGTACACGAATAAATTAAATAAACAAATAAATTTCTGCAAGATGGTGACACTTCAAATGACAAGGCTGTAATATATTAGCTGCAAGTAGTTTCTTAGCGAGAATCAAATAATGTGTTGGATATTTTTAAAATAGTAACTTAGGCATGATGGCATACACCAGCACTAGGAGGCAAAGGCAGGAGGATGGTGAGTTTGAGACAGGTATGGGATATACAGCAACACCGTCTCAAGAAAATAACTGGAACTCTTTTTTGAGCCCCTCTCCACATAGAGAGGGCTTTCCTTTCACTTTTAAATAACTTTAGTATTTATCTTTTTTAAAAAATAAGTAATTACAAGTTGACAATTTAATTAACAAAAACAAAAGCAACTTAAGAAAGTCACATGGCTGGGTACTGGTGGCCCATGCCAAAAATCCTACCTACTCAGTAGGCTGAGATCTGAGGTTCACTATTCCAAGCTAATGCTAGGCAGGAAAACCCATGAGATACTCATCTCCAATTAACTACCAAAAAAGCCACAGCTTGAGTTGTGGTTCAAGGCAGAGTGCTACCCTTGCACACACAAGCTCAGGGACAGTGCCTAGGCCCTGAGTTCAAGCACCAAAAAAGACTTATACCTTTGATTTAATTTTGCAAAAAATAGTCATCATGTTTTCTAAAAGTTCATCCAATTATGGCAGAAGGAAAAGTGGGTAAATCAAAAAAATTCTCCTATGGGCCTAATTCATGAGAACTAGCTCCAGGATATTTTCTATTACAAGGTAAGTTCAAGTTAATAAAACCTTATAGTTAATAAGGCAATATATAATTGTGCTCCTTAAGTACTTTAGTTAGGGAAATACTTTGAAAACACTTTTTATAAAATGAAGTTGGCTACTAAAGGGAATAATCTTTCGTTTTTCAAATTTCCTCTTCTCCTAACCTCACATAAAATTAAAGGCAATTCAACATTATCATTTTCCATTCCCATTTTCCACTCATGGTAAAATTTTAGAAGAATAATAATATGGTCAAGAATAGTGAAATTCTGGAGCTAGGAACCAGTGTTTAACACACATAATCCTAACTACTCAGGAGGCTGAGACCTAGAGTATCATGGTTCAAAATCAACAAGAAGAAAAGTCCATTAGACTCCATCACCAATTAACGAGCAAAATGCTGAACTGGAGGTGTTGCTCAAGTGGCAGCACATTAGCCATGGGCAAAAAAGCTGAGGAAGAGCATGAGACCTTGAGTTTATGCCCCAGTATCAGCACACACACAAAAAAAAGACAAAAATCTTCAGAGCATCCAAAATTGATTAGAAATCTTAAAACACTAGTGAGAAGAAAAGATTTAGGTTCAGACTTTTGTAACAATGACTAAATAATGTTAAGGCAATTCAAATTGTTAAAGAAAAATGGACTTGTAACTTGCCTCTAAGTTATGTGGATTAACACCAACGTAGGCTGTTGATTCAACCTAATGAGACTGGTCCCCACTATAGAATAAAACAGAAAGTATGGAAAAATTTAATCAGTAGAAGCTAATCGAGTTACAAAGTCAGTTTTTAAAAATAGCACACATCAAAAGATTAGAAGGGCAAGGGACAGCAGTACTCTTTTCACCCAGAAAGTCCTCCCAAACAGCAATCCCTTTCAGTAGTATATCTTCCATTGTAAAGATTAACGAAGAGAACAGACATATGGAATATTAAAATGCAGAGTCATGAGATGAAACAAGCTGATATAACATCGAGGACATTATACTTCATTTCAAAATTTCAACAAAAGAACAAGAGGGAGAAATGTAATTAGTTCAAACACTACCTCATCACTATCATCATTATGTCCTCTACAAGCCAGAACTCCATTCACATTCTGACTTTGTAATTTCCATCTTTACCTGATTTTGAGGCAAGTCTGCTACAAATTATTTTCCATATAGACAATTCATCAGCAAAAATGCTTCAAAACCAAAAAATTATATTCAAGTAAACTAAAATGAAAGAGGACACTTAAAAGAAACTAGAGACAAAGTAGAAGGAAACAAAAAGTAATTCCCTAGTTTATTAAGCATCAGATGAATTTAAGAACTAGTCTAAAAGGTAACAGCGGAAGAATGAAAAGGAGAAGAAATACTATAAAGGATATTTAAAACCTAGGAGAGGACTGGGAATGTGGCTTAGGGACAGAGTGCTCGCCTCCCATGCATGAGGCCCTGGGTTTGATTCCTGAGCATACATAAACAGAAAAAGCCAGAAGTGGCACTGTGGCTCAAGTGGTAGAGTGCTAGCTAGCGTTGAGCTGAAGAGCTGAGAGACAGTCTCAGGCCCAGACTTCAAGCCCCACAACTGAGAAAAGAGAAAAGAAAAAAAAAAAAAACTAGGAGAGTTTCTGAAGTATTTAAAACTAAACAATACAGAATTAAAAGAAACTCTTTACTAAACAGTTAAGGGTAAATTAATATACTCGTATCACCTGTGTCTAAACGTCGATGGGAATTCCTCATTTCTTTTACATTTCCAAATATTCTAGAATTTCCGAAGATAGCCCCTTTTTTGGGCAATAGTGGGGTTTGAACTCAGAACCTCACATTCAGTTTGCCTGCTCTACCACTAAAGCCCATTTTCAGCCTGGCTTTGTGCTGGTCATTTTGCAGACAGGGCCTATGGACTTCTTCCCCATGCTGGTTTCAAACCGTGATCCTCTGGATCATCTCCTGAGTAACTAGGAGGCACCCAACTAAGAGCTTCTTCTTAATAAACTATTCCTTTTGACTAATACTTAAAGTATAGCACTAATCTCATTTTTTAAAACTTACTTTTAAGAAAGGAAATTTTTAACTTCCTAAAATATATGAACATCCTGCATTTTTCAAAATGGGGTGGGAAATGTTGATTTATGTCTCTATAATCTGATTTTCTTTTCTGAGTCATAATGAAATCTCAGTACTCAGGAGATATTCACAAGTTCCAAGTTTCAAGCCAGCCTAGGCTCCATACCTATGGAGTTCAAAGTCAGCCTTGGCCACAAAGCAAAACCCTGCCCCAAACCACAAGTCATAAGAAAAAAGGAAAAAGATACACATTTCAGGATGGACAGTGAATGATCCATCTCATCTTTATACTAAGGAGTTATGTACACATATTTCCTATTAGATTCCCTTTCACTCCTGCCTCTTCTGCCTCAGAAGCCTCAGGTTCTTTCCAAATGTTAGCTTCCAGCAAGCAAAGTGGCACAGCACCTATCTAGCAAGCTAGAGTTCAAACCCCAGTACCACTACTACCAAAAAAAGTCAGCTTACCCTCTCAGGGAGTTGGGCCTCAACTTAAAATTAATCCCTCCTGGGCTGGGTGCTGGTAGTTCACACCTGCAATCCTATCTACATCAGGATGCTAATATGTGTGGAGCTAGGTTCCAGGACAGCACAGGCATAAAAGTTCAAGATCCCATCTCAACAGAAAAAGGTATGGTAAGGTGCACCTTCCAGCTATAGCAGGAAGTATAAACAGGAGGACTGTGGTCCAGGCCAGCACCTGCTTAGCAAGCAGAAAACCTTAAGTTCAAACCACAGTACTGCCCCAAAATATACTCCTCCGGAACTCCCTATCCTATTTTTTTCCCTATCACTATAAAGATGGTCGCCAACTTGGACTGTTCAATTTTGAATTTTATGTACTCCGCAGAAACCATTCTTTGAATTCTGACCCTTTGGTAATGCTGGCCAGTGACAGTATTCAGTTCCCAGCCAAGAGATCCTAAAGAGAAATAGCCAAGACTCTACTGTAGACTGTGTGGCTAAGCTGTTATGTGTAATAAATTAGGTAAAACTTTTTTTTTTGCCAGTCCTGGGGCTCGAAATCAGGGCCTGGGCACTGTCCCTGAACCTCTCTGTGCTCAAGGCTAGCACTCTGCCACTTGAGACATAGGGCCACTTCTGGCTTTTTCTGTGTATGTGGTACTGAGGAATGGAACCCAGGGATTCATACATGCTAGGCAGCACTCTACCACTAAGCTATATTCCCAGCCCAGCAAACTCAATTTTTGTTTGTTTGTTTGTTTTTGGGTCCGGTCATGGGCCTGAACTCTGGGCCTGGGCACTGTCCCTCAGCTCTTCAGCTCAAGGCTAGCGCTCTACCACTTGGGCCACAGCGCCACTTCCGGCTTTTTTCTTTTTGCTTATGTGGTGCTGAGGAATCGAACCCAGGGCATTAGGCATGCAAGGCAAGCGGTCTACCACTGAGCCACCTTCCCAGCCCCAGTAAACTCATTTTTTAAACTTGAATATTTTCAACTTAAAATGGGTAAAGGGGTGGGAAACCATATAAGGTCCACAAAATCATTCGGTTACATGACAGTACAGACACATAATGCTTCTTCTTGGCTGCCCGAGGCCCATTTGCCTGTATTGGTAATTTTGTACGGTCCAGAATGATGTTATAAATACCCAATGGCCCTTGGCAAGAAGAAGAAGAAGAAAAAAAAAAAAAAAAAGGCTTCCTACCACAGGAACATAGCCTCATCATTATGTCAAGGAGCATCTGTTATCTCACCTATGAATTTACTTTCCTGTTTAGAAACAAACTTCATGGAGACAGGAGTTTTGTTTCTTACTCAACAGTTATGTATAGATAAGGACGCAATGTTTGTCAAAGAGTGAATGAATGGAAATACATAGTGCCTTCTCCCTCCCCAATCTCCAAACTCTAAAGTCCTTTGTCCAGTACCAAAAGAGTGTGAAGTCTTTTCCTTTCTAATAAATTACTATCATCACCTGTGCTGTCAAAGGATCACGTGCCAATTTCCCAGCTACATGCCACTTTTAAATTATTTTTCCAATGTCCTCCTCTGATGTAACATCTGACGTAACAAAAAGTACATATTCCAGTTTAAGCAATCCAAAAGCTGCTACACTGACTAGCAAAACATAAAAATAAAAAAAACATCAATGAATGAGAGCATTTGTGTTCTAACCAAAAAAGCCACACTCTTCAAGGCCAGATCGGCCAATAGGATTAAAGTTAAGGTACCGAAAGGATGACCATAAATAAATAATAAAAATTTCCTTCCTAAATCTAGGTAGTCATTAGTCTCCAAAAAGGAAGACACTACTTAAGGAAAAAACATCTTCCCAGAATACAACACTGGGGACTAAAATTGCTTGTAATCCAAGTTACACAGCACTGGGTAGAAGCCCATTCGGAGGTTCTAGACCGTTCATTTCTTACAAGTTATATTGGATATACTTACCATCTTTCTTACAGAGAGACTAAGTGTGTTTAAGTGCTTTGACTTTCAGGAAACTGATGGGGGACGGGAGGAAGGAGGAGCAGGACTAGATAAATGCAAAGCACAGTCACTGCTTCCCAAACACGGGCATCCAATCTGTTTCTTTAATACTCGACTGCCGTGCTCGCTTGATCTCTATTTCAGCCACACAAAACTGAAGTGCTCGGAGTGCTTCGTGGGAAAACTGCTTTACACCTAAGGCTGACAATAATGCCCGCTTCAACCTGCCGAGAACGTTCGGATCCCAAAAGCTTCCAGGGGCTCGACGCTCCCCGCCCGTCCTAGGATCCCATCATGGCTCCACCTTGCCTCGGGCCTGGTCCAGACCCAGTCCGCTCACCACGGAAGCAGCCTTCCCCCCACGTCGTGCAGATGCTGGGTGGGGGAAAGCCGGGGCGCACCTCCCGCGGGCCGGCCCGGGGCAGCTGTCGGCCGCGGCAGCTGTTACCCGGCGTACCCCGAGGCTGGGCGGGCTCCGGGGGCAGCGCCAGGCGAGCGCCGGGGCCCGGGGCGAACCGGCCCGACGCTGCCCACCGCCCTCCGCCCGCCGCCGAGACCCCCGCGACGCCTCGGGGGCCCCGGCAGAGGGGCTCCCCCGAGGCCGGCCCGGGCCCGGACCCCGCGGCGCCCCTCGCCCGGGAGGCAGCCCCCTCCCGCCCCTCACCTGACCTGTCCCCTCGCCAAGACGCCCCAAGCCGGCCGCGGCCGCTGGCTGGGCAGCCCGGGGGGTGTCCATGCGGCCGGCTTGGGCCGGAGCTGCGGGGACGCGAGTGAGGCTCAGGCGGCCCGGGACGCGGCGGCAGGGCCGGGGCGCGCAGCGGAGCCAGGCAGGGGAGCGAGACAGAGCCACTGGTTACCTGCGGTCCGGGACAGGGAGTCTCTCAGAACCCAAGTCAGCCCTCAGCCTCAACAACACAAGATGGCCGACACGTCGCCACGCACGTCACGTGACTGCGCGCGCTCCGCCACGCCCCCGGCCACGCCCACTCCCCTGGCCTGCCTCCCTCCCTACTCTCCAGCCTCCCACGACGCGCTTCCTTTCCGCTACCGCCCACCCCTCGTCCAGACCCGCCCCTTTCCGAGACCCGGATGACGTTCTGGAAGAGGGCGGGATGGTGGCGACACGCAGGCGCGCGTGGGCTCTGGGCTGCGGCTCCTCGCCTGCCCTTGAGTGGAGCCAGTGTCCGGGCTTGGAGCCAGGCCAGGGACCCTGAGGACTCGCCGTCCTGTGCTCCCGCGCGGGGCCAGCTCGCAGCTCAGAAATCTCCGCATCGCTTATCAGCTGGTCTTCCAACTGCAACTTTTCCCCAGCTTTTCGTCCAGCAGACTCGTGGAACTGGGGGTGCATTTTGGAGTGTTGGAACGTGACCTCTGGGAAGAACTTCAGGGGTGCCCCCTGGTACAGCTGGGCCTACGAAGCCCTCCTGGTGTCGGGGGTGCCACGTAAAATACCAGAACCCAGCAATGCCGGGCACACACCTTGCATGTGTGACATTCACATCCAGCTGGGCTTCTTTGCCTAAGCTGCTAGGGCTGACTGCCTTCTAAGGTCGTTCTTTACGTGTCATCCTTACGTGTCTTTACATGTTCTTTACATGCCATCACTCCCTCCCTCCCCGCCCCTCCGAGCTGGGCATCCAACCAGGGGCTCACACGCCAGGCAAGTGCTCTACCATTGAGCTCCACCCCATGCTCTCAGTCTCTCGGCTCCTCTTTACAGGATCCAACCATACACACATACACACACACACACACACACACACACACACACGTCTGAAAATTCGATGTAAGAACTAGTGTCACATTTTTATTGCATTTTACTGTACATCATAATGCCATTTTTATATAAGGACACTTTAATAAGCTATTTCAATTTGGTTTTGTTATATTAAGTTGACTTTATCAAATACATAGATTTTTTTTGCAAAAAAAAAAAAAAACTAGTGTCACTTAATATAATTCTTTCCAAGCCTTTCAATTTCCTTATGAATGGTACAGTAGCACTCTTTCTGAGGGGTGAGTAGAATTTCATTGTGTGTGTATATATACCACATTTTCTTGATCCATTGGTCGGTCCATTGAGGGGCATCCGGGCTGATTACATTAAGTGAAGTAAGCCAGACCTGAAGAAACAAAAGTTGCATAGCATCCCTCATTTGTGGTAGCTAAACTGTGCCTATAAATCTATATGTAAACACACTGGGTGGTATACAAGCGGTTACAAATGAATGAACAGACGAATGAATAATAGACTCACTCAATGGAGAACTCAAATACTTTAATTCTTTAGAAAGTCTAAGTCAACGCCCAACAAAATAAGTACCAGGAAATGGGTACTTGGGGTGGGGGCGCATGGGAAAAGGGGTAGATGAATAAAAGAAAATCAAAGTATTCAAAAAAAGAAAAAAAGAACCACAGTTTTCCCTTCTATCTCTCAACTTCTGTGCTTCCTTTCAAAGCCAAACTGCCAAAAGAGCTGTTATTCATCTCCAACTTACCTTAAGGACACCTTAACCTACAGGTTGATAATGAGATTTTTGTCTTCAGCAATATGATTAACCACTTCCCTTGACCTTTTGCTGCTCAAAGTAGTCAAGCATCAGCATCACTTGAAGGCTTGTTAGAAAAGCAGATTCTCATGCAGTTGGTGGCTCACACCTGTAATCCTAGCTACTCAGGAGGCTGAGATCTGAGGATCACAGTTCAAAGCCAGCCCGAGGAAAGTCTGTGAGACTCTTATCTCCAATAAACCGCTCAGAAAACCAGAAGTGGTTTTGTGGCTCAAGTGGTGGATCGCTAACATTGAGCTGAAGAGCTGAGAGACAGCACCCAGGCCCAGAGTCAAGCTCCATGACTGACAATAAATAAATGAAAAATCTCAAATCACCATCCTACCTGTATGATCCATACTGCCCCTCCCCCACCCTTGTGTTCTCACTGCAACTGTGCACGAGACCCTCCCACATGACATTCAGTGTTAGTGTTTGCACCTGCTATTCCCTTGCGTTTCAGTGCCAAGTCCAACACGTTCCCCTTCTTCCCAACAAATAATTCCTGTTCAGCTTTAAAAGCCTTCAGGATCAAGCCCAGGGCCTTGTACATGCTAGACAAGCAGACTACCACTGAGCTACATCCCCAACCCTCAGTGAAGATGTCTTCAATCTCTTCCATAAGATCAGTTAATCTCTTGAACTATACCCTTTAAGCAAGAATAAAAACACATGTGTTATGTGCTAACCACCTCAGTAATGGTTTTGCTTGAATCCTCTTGGAATACTGGTGACCAAGCTAAGGAACACTAAGAAAACCACCTGAGCTTCTGAACAAAGTGCTTTTGGAATCTCAACCAGGAGGCTCAAGCCCAAAGTGGCTGATGGCAGAGCCGCAAGCATGTGAAACTTCCATCAAATCAAGGTACGGAAGTGTCTTCTTTTTTTATTTTTTATTTTTTTCCAGTCCTGGGGCTTGAACTCAGGCTGGATACTGTCCCTGAGCTTTTTTGCTCAAGGCTAGCACTCTACCACTTGAGCCACAGCACCCTTTCCAGCTTTTTTCTGTTTATGTGGTACTGGGGAATGGAACCCAGGGCTTCAAGCATGATAGGCAAGCACTCAACCACTAAGCCACATTTGCAGCTCCTGGAACTGTCTTTGTATCACTCCCATTTGTTCCCCAGATGACCTTGGAAGTCAGCCCTGACTGCCCCTCCCAGCTGCTAGTTTCTATCCTTACCTTATTCTTAGCCTTCTATTATCATCTCATGACTGTCACATAGAACAGTAAAATCCACAGTTCACACTTTCGCTTAGCCCAATGCATGATTCATCCATATTGTTACTTTTTAAAAAATTGCTGAATAGTATTTCATGGGATATATGCTGATCCATTTCTTAATTGAGAGACATTTGGGTTGTTTTCAGTTCAGGAAGATCATTCACAAAGCCTCTGTGAATAGTCACATAAAGGCATTTGTGAGAACTCAAGTTTTTGTTCTACTTGGGTCAATATCTAGGAATGGGATTGGTACTGTGTATTGATTGTTTGACTTCATCAGAAACTGCCAAACTGTTTTTCAGCGTGTCTTAGTCCTACATTATAGGCTTCCAGAAAGCAGGAACCAAATCAAAGGAAGGCTTATGATAGCAATCTAAAGTCACCAAACTCCATGTGTTTCCCATTATTCAACTTTATAACCTCAGCCACTGTCAATAAATGCTCAATAGATACCTATGGAAGCAAATTCTTAATTACATAGTTTTTCTGTTCTGTTGTCGTTTTGTTTTTTGTTTTTGTTTGTTTTTGTTTTGTGTATGTGTGTGTGTATACGCTACTATTTTTCCACTTCTGGCTTTTTGGTGACTAATTGAAGTCTCATAGATTTTTCTGCCCAAGGATGGCTTTGAACCATAGTCCTCTGGTCTCAGGCTTATGAGTGGCTAAGATTACCAGAGTGAGCCAGCAGTGCCCCACCCTTTCCTAGTTTAGAAACAAATTTCCCTCCCCCTCAGCCCTTGTAATGGACAGTGTTGGTAGTAGTGAAAACAGCTGACTCACGGTGCCAGAAGAGGAGGGATGACACAGCTTCCACCACCCTTGACTAAGTGGGTGCCAGTCCTGGGGCTTGAATAGAGGGGCCTGGGCGCTGTCCATTAGTGATTTTCCCAAGGCTAGCACTCTACCACTTGAGCCACAGCTTCACTTCTGGCTTTTTGGTGGTTAATTGGAGATAGTCTGATAGACTTTCCTGTCTGAGCTGGTTTTGAACTGCTAACATGATCTCAGCTTCCTGAGTAGCTAGGATTCCATGTGTGAACCCCACCACCAGGCTTAATTTTTGTTTTTGGAAACAAAGAAAGTCCAAATGTCCTGTGGCTGCTTGAAGCCCAGCCAACAAGAACAGGCCCATGTGCCTCGTTGTCCCCTCAAGAGCCCAGTCAACAGCCAGCATCAACCAGCAGACACCTGAGTGCAAAGGCCACTGAGAAGTTTGATTAGAAGCCATACATCCTGGAACAAGCATCCTCACATGACGCAGTATCTGGATTTTTTTATTTTTTTTTTTTATTTTTATTTTTTGGTTCCGGTCGTGGGGCCTGAACTCTGGGCCTGGGCGCTGTCCCTCAGCTCTTCAGCTCAAGGCTAGCGCTCTACCACTTGAGCCATAGCGCCACTTCCGGCTTTTTTTTTCTGCTTATGTGGTGCTGAGGAATCGAACCCAGGGCCTCATGCATGCCAGGCAAGCGCTCTACCACTGAGCCACCTTCCCAGCTCCCAGTGTCTGGATTTCTAATCATTTCTTCAGGATAACAAAATGGTCACTGTAAACCATTAAGTGTTAGAGTCATTTGCTCTCAATTGTGACCGAATGTCATTATTATACCTTGAACCATCTTCCATAAAAGATACGTTGACATCCTAATCCTAGGTATATTAGAATATGATCTTATTTAGAGGTAGACCTTCAAAGGGGTAATTAAGACAAAATGGGGGCAGATGTGCAGCTGGGGCATACCTGTAATCTAATTACTTGGGAGGGAGAGTCCCCAGTATTTCAGTTCTAGGCCAGCTCAGGCAAAAAATTACAAGAGACTGCACCTCAACCAATAGCTGGACACAGTGGCACATGCCCATCATCCCTAGAGACACTGTGAAGCTAAAGTAGGAGGACCAAAACCCAGGTCAGCCTGGCATAAAGCCAGTAAGATCTTACTTTGGATTCTGGCACCGGTTTCTCATGGCTGTAATCCTAGCTACTCAGGAGGCTGAGCCCTGAGGCTCATAGTTCAAAGCCAGCCCAGGCAGAATAATTCCTACAAGATTCTAATTTCCAGTTAACCACCAGAAAACTGGGTGCTGTAGCTCAAAGTGGTAGAGTGCTAGCCTTGAGCAAAAGAACTCGGGAATAGCATGTAGGC